ATAGCTCATGCTCATAAACTGCAATGAGCCAACCCTGGCATCATGAAGGACCCCGATTTTAAAAATGGGTAAAGAAGTTCTGAAAGCCTGGGCAACATAGTGAGACATTTTCTTTAAAAAAATATACTAGCCAGGCATGGTTGGTCATGTACCTGTAGTTCCAGCTACTTGGGAGACTGAGGCAGCAGGATTACTTGAGCCCAGGAAGTCAAGATTGTAATCAGCCATGATTGCACCACTGCACTCCAGCCTGGGCAATAGAGTGAGACCTTGTTTCTGAAAAAAAAAAAAAGAAAGAAAGAAGGTTCTGGAGATGCATGGTAGTGATGATTCATACTAATGTGAATGTACTTAATGCCACAGAAGCATACACTTAAAAATGGTTACTGTTCTGTGTGTTTTACTACATAAATAAACACAAAATGGTGAGTCACTTGCTCTGTTTGTCTGATGTGTCATTCCTGATGGGCTACTTAAGACTCATTGGTTGCAAGTTACAGAACCAATGAGAACTAGTTTGAACAAGAAAAGGTAAATTGTAAGGATCCTGGGTTATATCTCAGAACCCCAGGGCAGGAAGGCTAAGAGGTCTCTGGAAGGACTAGAATTAGGAACTGGAAGGCCACTTGGACTCTTCCGTGTCTTGGTTTTTTCTGTGATTTGACTTCGTCTTCATTCTCTCTGCAGCCTGGTTTCTCTCTTCCTGGCCCCCGGGTGGAAAATGCTTTCTGCCTTCTCCTCTCCATAACTCTAAGTTTACTCAACATGTTACACTCCCATGTTGAGAAGAACTCACGCTCTCTTACTCCCAACCGCATAGTCCCAGGAAAGTGAGGCTGATTGGCATGTCCTGGGTCAGCTGGCCTCCCTGGGGGTACAAACATGGTGGATTCTGAGAGAGGAGTGGCTGGGCATGAACATCAAACAGTGCCTTAATATTTGAGAATATTCATCACACTCGACCAGATCGTGTTCTTCTCTGAAGCTCTTGGCACAGAGTTCCATTCGGTTTCACAAGCATAAGAAATACACAGTGATATGAATTGCATGGTTGGTAGACAAGTCAGGATCCCTTCCTCTCCTCCTGTATGGCCAAATTCTCCATTTTCACGCGACAGGAGATGTGGGTGGCCTTTCTGTAGTGTTTTGTCTCCAGCCCAGTCCTCCATCAGGCTCCAGCTCTGAAGGGAGCACAATACATGCTCTGTGTTTGACCACAAGTGCTCGATAAGACCCTGGCCCACAGCCCAACTGCTTGCCCCACTTTCTCTGGGTCCCACAGACCCACAAGGTACTAGAAGACTTTCTTGTGGTAAAGGGAGCCCCTTCCGTTTTGCCTTTGTCATATGCGACTCCCTGTTTGTCAGTTTTTGGCCAATGAGAAAATCTCTTCAGCTCCCTCAAAGGGCTTTGTTTTCTAACCCTCCACAGGTCCCTGCTCTCTGGTGCATCCTTCAATGCCTCTCACTTGCCAGGAGATTGCAGGGATGCGTTTATCCAGAGTCAAGTCTAACGGGTATAAATTTGCTTCACAACATTCAGGTATGAGAAATGTCATATTTCTCCTTTTTAAAAAAATTTAATCCATCCGACTGTGAGCACCTGCCTGCCAACTGATGGGAAGCCCAGTGTAGCCCCATCCCTGGAGCAGGCCTCCATCTCCATGGGACGAGTCTGTGAGGAACCTGATCCTAGGCCCAGGCAAACCGCCAGCCGTGCAGTGGCTCCCCAGCCCCTGCTGCCCTGGCTTACAAGGAACCTCCCCAAGGGCCTCAAAGTCCCTGGGGCACTGCAGAGGGTATATGCAGGTCTCTGCCTCTGTGGCACTCTTCCTCCCCTAGGTCCCCTGTCTCTAGAGTCCCTGTCTCCCCTTTGGACAGGTCATACCCACCCGTTAATCTTTAGCCTCACCTCATGCCTCTGCAACGTTTGAGACTGGGCTTTAAAAAACATTTATTAATTTTCCCATGAGGCAAGTGAAGCTCCTAATAACACGACATAGCACAGTGGATGAGGGGAGAGAGGCAGGTACTATTTATTCCCCTTGTTGGCCTTGAAAACCAGACACCACTGACTTCTTTAGCAGCAGCTGCCACAACCACTGATTTGCAACACCTCCCAATTTCCCACCCCAGCAAGGAGAGGAAGGCATCCACCCAGACCCCCATCATGGTCTTAGAAAAGGAAGACCCCACCACAGTGCCTCATCCCCAGAAGTCGTGCTGACAGTAGCAGTATCAGGGGTAAGACCCCCTTGCTATGCAGCTTCCTATGGGAAATGGTGAGCACAGGAGTTTTTTAACAAAAAGAATGCAATGTTAACTAAGTCATTTTATTTTTAAAAATTTATCGTGGTAAGAAGACTTAACATAAGATCTACCCCCCAAAATTTTTAAGTGTACAATACATTATTGTTAAACACTTTTTTTTTGAGACAGAATCTCGCTGTCACCCAGGCTGGAGTGCAGTGGTGCGACCTCCGCTCACTGCAAACTTTGCCTCCCAGGTTCAGGCAATTCTCCTGCTTCAGCCTGCCAAGTAGCTATGATTACAGGCACACACCACCATGCCCAGCTAACTTTTTTTATATTTTTAGTAGAGACAGGGTTTCACCATGTTGGCCAGGCTGGTTTCAAACTCCTGACCTCATATGATCCACCTGCCTCGGCCTCCCAAAGTGTTAGGATTACAGGTGTGAGCCACCACACCCGGCCGTCCAATTTATAAAATACATTATTTAACACATAAATAAATGAGAAGCATTACCCTCAGTACAGCCTTCCCCAGGAGATAAAAGACTTGAATTTTCAGTTTCCATTACAACCTCAAGTTCCAGCTCCTCTACATTGTAAGCCCATGGAGGTCGGCATCCCCTGTCTTAATCATTCTTGTCCTCCTCACACCCAGGCATGACAGGCCTCCATAATAATTTGACGAATTAATCTCTTTCAGTTCCTGGTTCTTCATTTAAGCCCTCACACGAAGATAACAGATAAAATCTTTGCCTGACAGTTCCTTCTGGACCTGCAAAGAGAAAGCACTTGAAATATTTTACATCTGAAATGAGGCTGAAGTTAAACAACTGCCAGGACGGTTGTGTAAACAAATAGGCTAGGACCATCTATTAGCCCGCAGGGACTGGGAATTCAGTCCTGAATCACCCTGCTGTGCCTGGACAGGTTGGGAACTGAGGCCAGCATCCATTGATTCATCAGCACTTCCTCCAAGAGTGAGACCCACCATTTGAACTTTCACTCTCCAAACATTTATTATAGAGACCTAGCAATATTTTTACTTAAAATTTGCTATGTGATGCAGGTTCAAGAATTGGTAGCTTAAAAAAGAGAAGAAAAAAATGTGCTATGTAAATCAAAACACTCTATTACAATCTGCTCTCCAGCAACCTTCCAGGTCCTAGTGGAAGGGTGGAGGATGTATGACAGGCACATTTCAGCTCTCCCACTGGTAGAAGCGCCTCTCATGTCTATGTTGTTCTGCCATATTGGGAAGATGTCTTATAAGAAAGTTGAAAAGCCTATGAATAAAGCTGTTGAGCCTAAGAGGCCTCAACAACCCCCACACATTAGAAGAAGAAAAGTTGAGGCCAGGCGTGGTGGCTCATGCCTGTAATCCCAGCACTTTGGGAAGCCAAGGTGGGTGGATCACCTGAGGTCAGGAGTTCGAGACCAGCCCAACCAACATGGTGAAACCCCGTCTCTACTAAAAATACAAAAATAAGCTGAGCATGGTGGCAGGCGCCTATAATCCCAGCTGCTCAGGAGGCTGAGGCAGGAGAATCACTTGAACCCGGGAGGCAGAGTTTGCAGTTAGCAGAGATTGTGCCATTGCACTCCAGCCTGGGCAACAAGAGTGACACTCCATCTCACACACACACACACACACACACACACAAAAGAAAGAAAGGAAGGAAGGAAGGAAGGAAGGAAGGAAGGAAGGAAGGAAGGAAGGGAAAAGTAATCAAGTGTATTGTGAGAGGCAAAATCATATGTGATATGAACATAGGCATGCACATGTCCCGTGCACGTGCATGTCCAATTCTTTCTGGGCACTCTATGCATTCACTGTGGATTCTTAATAAGTGATGTCACTATTTTTATTTTTTTGTGATGGAGAAGTAAAATGTAGTTCATATCTAATAACTCAATCCAACATGATAGTATCTTGAACACAAAGGTACCCACTGATGATTTCACCCAATGTTAAATAATTAGATAATTGTTCAATGCTTTATATCAGTGATTCTTAGACCTCAGCAAGCATCAGAATCTCTTGGAGGTTTTGCCAAAACTCAGATTGCTGAACCCCATCTCAGAGTCTGCTTTAGTAGGTTTAGAGTGGGGTCTGAGAATTTGCTTCTTTTTTTTTTTTTTGAGAGAAGGTCTGGCTCCGTTGCCCATGCTGGAGTGCAGTGGTGAGATCTTGGTTCACTGCAACCTCTGCCTCCCAGGTTCCAGCTCCAGCCATCCTCCCACCTAAGCCTCCCGAGTAGCTGGGACCACAGGCATGTGCCACCATGCCTGGCTAACTTTTTGGTACTTTTTGTAAAGATGAAGTTTCACCATGTTGCCCAAGCTGATCTCGAACTCCTGAGCTCAAATGATCCCCCCACCTTGGCCTCCCAAAGTGCTGGGATTACAAGTGTGAGCCACCATACCCTTCCTTGATAATTTGCATTTTTTACAAGTTCCCAAGTGATACTAATGCTGCTGGTCCAGGTTCATACTCTGGGAAACACTGATTTCTATTGTTCAGAGCTCCTTGGTGGATGTTTACATAAATGTTTGAGTGTCTTAGTGATTAAGAGGATATTGATTGAGGTTTTGGGATAGGTTGGCAATGCATTATCATTTTCTCCATTTTATTTATTTTTCATTTTTTATTTTTTAAAATTTTAATTTATACGGATATATGTTGTCCAGGCTGGTCTCAAACTCCTGTCCTCAAGCAGTTCTTCCACCTTGGCCTCCCAAAGTGCTAGGTTTTATGGGCTAGGTGTGAGCCACCACACCCCGCCCTGTTTCTCTATTTTAATGAAATATAGACACTTGTTATCCTAAAATTTTCCTTTTTTTTTTGCCATGATCTTCATGAACACACTAAAGTGTTCTATGCAGCATATTTTTAGGAGCAGATTCGGTTCAGATAATCTCTTATGTCTGTGCTGCCAACTTGAGGCTGCCTGAGAGTTTGTTGGGAGCTCCAAACTCCCCAGTCACCACAGAAGCCCCCTTCTTACCCAGCAGGCCCACACTCGGGATCTGAACTCTCTGATAGATGGGCCATGCTGGAGAGACAGCAGCAGCCTAAAAGGGGTTCACAGCCCTCCAAGAAAAAGGGAGAAAAGATGCTGCATTTGACTGCAACACTAAAGAGCCCTTTCATTGCTCATGAAAAGAGTTTGGAGAATATTGGCCAGGATCCCAGAGCTAGGGGATCCAGGGCTATGGGCAAGTTATTAAGTGCCCTGGAAAGGCCCCATTGGGCAATTTAGGGAATTTCTGGGCTGGTACTGGAAGCCATTGATGGAAGAGATTGAATGGCCACCTGCCCCTCTACTGGGGCCTGAGGAGGGGTCAGTGCCCCGGCCTGCACAGGGGCTGTAGACTGCTGCTGTTGGGGCCAATACCAGGCCAGGGAAAAGGAAAGAAAGAGAAAAATGAAGAATGAGAGAGCTATTTTCAACTTTAAGGATACCAAATGGGGTTTTAAACATTATGGACAAATGACGCAGGGTAGGGAGCTTTATTTGCTCAAGGAGTCAGGAATCCTAGCCTCTCTTACCCAGAATCATTTTTCAGAATTCACCACTGGCTTTTTGAGTCAGGTCTGGAAACTTAAGCTTCTCCTTGGCATGAAATCGGAAGACATGCACAGTGGATTTTCCCATTCTGTGAGATGAGCTGGACAGAGGCTCCAGGAAGTGAGATCTGGGGCATTCCACCTCTGCTGTGTCTCCTTGGAGACTACAATATCGTTCATTCTGAGGTTCCATTCTTACATGTAGTGGTTCCTGGTCTGCCCATTTGGAAAAGGGGACTAGGAATACCTGTCCTACCCACGTCATGAGGGTGTTATGGGGATCCATACACTCTGAAAGGTGCGTGACTGAATTATTGGAATATTGATGAAGCTGGAAGTCCTTGTGTGTCGACATTGTGTGTAAGGAGTTCTTCGTTCCATGAGGTGGGAGTTTGTCTGATTTTTCACTGATATCCCCAGCTATTAGAACAATGATTGACATATACTAGGCACTCAAAAAAAGTTTGTTGAATGAATACATGTGGAAAAAGAAAAGAAACGAAGAATTATAGAATGTAACAACTGGAGAGATCTTTAGAAATCATGTCAAATCTCAATTTATAAGTCCCAGCAAGGTTTATGCTCCTCTCCAAGCTATTACAGCCTCAAGGGTCAACAAGTGAACAGACCTCCCAGATGGAGCTGACCAAAGCCTTCTTGCATTCAGTTTCTCTTACTGCTTTGCAGTGACATGAAACTAATTTTGAAAAGAAAAAAAACAAAAACGTAAGCTCTAATGATTGATTCTGTTTTTTCTTTTGGCAAGGGCAAAAAAAAAAAAATTCCATTCCAGCTCTGGGCATAACATGCCTGGTCCTATTACACTTTTAAAAAGTAAAAAGAGAAGAAAACAAACAAGCAAACAAAATCCAACACTTGGAAACTTGCTTGGCATCCAGTGTACTCATTCCTGGTTCATGGAGCAGTCAGAAAACACATATCATCCTTGAATCCCTTCTCAGGCACAACTAAAGCCAGAGTGTAAGCTTCGACAGTCTAGCTTCCCAAAGGCTCTTCCACTTCTCAGACCCACCAGCAGCTCATCTCTCTGTCAGAGCAATCTGATTGACAATCATCAATCAGGAAGGACTTCAGGGGTCTTGTTGCCCCTTTACTACAGAGGCTTGCCATGGTCACCCAGCTGGCGAGTGACGGCCTGGACCCTCCCTATTTGCCAGGTCCAAGGACATTTAATAGAAAGGACACTGCTCACCGCTGACCCTGGACACCTCTCAGACCACTGGGCCTGTCACGTGCCGGGTGTGAGTGGGGAAACCCAGCAGGATGTGGGCTAACGGCAGGGGAAGTTTCATGTCTTCCTCTGCTGCCTCTCACTACTGTAGCACAGGAGAGCCATGTCTGTTCATGTTGCCGGTCTAGATGCTCTCTGGCCTGTCCTGAACTTTCTCCGGCTCTTTCTTCAGCATTTCATGAGCTTTTATGATGAAGCCTCTGTGTATGTTTGTGTGAGCAGCGGAAAAGGTGCAGAAAGATGTTTGTTAAACTGTTAGCAGTGGGATTCGAGTTAGGCAGGTGGAGATGATTAACTTTTCCTTACTTTATCTCTGTGTTGCTTGAACTTGTTGTAACCAGCATGTATTACACATGCAACTTTTAAAAATCCAATAAAATTAAAAAGCAAGTCGCAAAAGGAGACACAGTATGATATCATGCCCATAAAATCCAAAATCCAAAACTCCCATAAACAATATGTCATATTGTTATAGGGTATCCTATGTATTGTTTATGGGGTCTAAACCTAGGGGCCTAGTAAAAGCCTAAATCCTGCTGGAAGACACCACACTGGACGGGAAGAGCTTGTAGAGAAAGGAGGCAGAGTGATGTTGAGGAAGGCAACTTCAACTGGACCCATGGCGTTTTGTTTCCTAAGAAAACAAAAACCTCGAAGCAAATATGGTGAAAAGCTAATGTTCATTGGAGCGGACGATGGGTCTTTCATGACTGTTACGTTATTCTCCATACTTGTCCATTTGTTTGAAATATTTCAGAAACTGAATGAACTATAACAAAGGGGAGATAATTGAATTCATCCTTATTTGTAATTTATCTTGCATGACACCCCATATGTACCCCAGGTATAAGAAAGGAAAAAAAGAAAGAGGGAGGAGAAAGGAAAAATCAGAGTTTTGGAGGGCTAGTTTGCTTTTCTGATCTTCCTTATTCTTCCACTGGGTTTTTTTCAGCAAATAAACGTGGAAAAGAGGCAAAGTTAATGTCCCCTGGAGAAATGGACGGATGATTGGATGGATGGACAGACGGACAGGTGGATAACCTCATGAGCCAACAGCTGCCAGGTTTTCAGAGCAGGTAGGAATCTGCCTTCATCATGGAGGCTGCGACTGGGACTGCTCACTGCCCACAGCTCACCTCTGGGTGTGATATGATGCATTCATGAAACTGGGCTCTTATGCCTTAGCTTGTAAGGCTGCAAGTGCCCCCTGTGCGAATGAGTAGCTAGAACACAAAGAGCACCTACGGCCCATTCCGCCCCTGTGCCCCTGTGGGGAATATTCAGGGGTCTTTCCCCAGCCCCAGGTTGAGACCTGCAGCTATGATGGTGGGGACCCAAGAGGGACAGTGGCTCCCCGCTGCTCTTGAGGGCCAGGAACTAATAATAAACCATGCAGCCATTTCATAGGAACCACATCAATTTTTTTCTCAAAAAATGAAAAAGTTCCTGAGAAATGGTGGACAGCAGAGGGGTTCTTCATTGTACCTTTTTTCTTGGGGCGTGTAACCTGGACCTGGGGAGGTGAGGGTCTGGCCAGGGCCACAGTTAAGGACATGTGTCTGGGCTCAGACAGCAGAGCAGTGCTCGCCCACTAGCCAGCTCAGGTGGGCTCTAGAAGTCAGTCTGGTGGAAAAGTGCCCAGCCCACACAGGTGACAGCTCTTACTACACTCCAGGTGCTGTCCGCTTATCAGACGTTATTTAATCCTCGCAGCAGTCTATGGGGTAGTTGAGTAGTGTGGCTGGAATATCAGGGCTGTGTAGGGATGCCTTAGGAATGAACCTGAAGAGGTCAGTTGGGACTGGGCTGGGGAGGACCAGAATGCCATGCCAAGGATCCCTCCTCTGGGTGAGGCAGAGTGATCAGGGGCTTTTGGTAGGGAACTAATGTGACCTGACTTATTTTTTTGAGAATAGATTGGAGGGGCAAGAGCAGAGCAGAGGCTGAGAGAGATGATGGGGCATGAGGGATGGTGGCCGGGACTAATGCTGGGGCCTTGGGCGAGGACAGGGAGACGGAAGCAGCATGGGGATCACTAGAGAAGAGAGCCAGAGAGGAGGCAGAAGCCCCAAAGGAGGAAGAAACCATGAACAGGAGTCTTGCTTAGGCTCTGCCCCCAACCAGCTTTGGAACCTTGGGCAAGTCATGTCACCCCTCATGGACTCAGTTTTCACTGCTGTAAAATGATGGGGCTGAATGCATCCTCTACCATGGTAAGAACGATGGGCCTTTTGCACGTTTCTTTTGCTCCAGGGGTGGGGAAAGCCTGAACCATGGCATAGTGTCTGGCACTGCCAGGAGCACCAGAGGAACTGCCAAAGTGGCAGGGAGTGGCTGGCACACGGGTTCAGTTGGCATTGCAGCAAGCAGCATGGCAATGCTAAGGCAAAGAGCAGGCCAAGGCTGCCGGGGCTTGCCAGCGTGGGCAGGATGTTGGAGTCACTGTGGCAGGGCTCCAGCAGACACGGGCAAGGCCAGTCTGTGAACCGCATCCCTTCTTTACATAATCATCCTTACAGCAACATGTTTTCTCATTTCAGTTAAGCAGTGCCAGGCCTCTGATCAAATGGCTTTTGTAATCCTTGTTGTCAAGTTTAAGCTTGAGCAAATAGTAAGGCAGCCTCAGAGTCACTTCAGCCTTCTGACTCAGTGTCCCTGTGTGCAACGGATGGGGTGGGATCTTCTAAACATCCCTTCTGACCATAACATGCTAGGAGCCTTCTGTTAGAATTCCACCTTCGAAATCACACCCTGCTGGGGGCACCCCCTGCCTCTGATTGTGATCAAAGCTCACTGCAGCCTCAAACTCCTGGGCCCAAGTGAACCTCCTCTCTCAGCCTCCTGAGTAGCTGGGACCACAGGCGTGTACCACCACACCCAGCTAATTAAAAAAAATTTTTTTTTGTAAAGACGGTCTCACTATCTTGCCTAGGATGGTCTTGAATTCCTGGCCTCAAGCAAGCCTCCCACCTCAGACTCCCAAAGTGCTGGGATTACAGGTGTGAGCCACCACACCCAGCCTTTATACATTTTGAAATACACTTTTCAGCTGTAGAGCCATGATATGTGATTTAAATTCTCTGTGCCTGTTTCCTTGGGCCTGGCAGAGAAAGTGTGACTAGCCTACTGTGGCTGTACACCCGGGGATGATAATGCTACCTACTTTGCTATTAGGAATTCTAAGTGAGAAAATATGAGTGAAACCTTTAGCACAGAACCAGGCACACTGTATGAATGGACAGCTATTATTGTAATTATGCATTCAGCCATCAGAACTTACTGCACATCGAGAGCTGTGCAAGGCTCAGGGAATAGGGTACTAACAAGTTAGGCTGACGAGCAAGTGTCCTGTCCTCACCGAGTTGCTGTCCGAAGGGGAGGCAGACCAGTCAAAGAGTTTCCCTTAACTAGTGCACGTGCCCTCTGCTAGGGAAGCAAGAGGGGCTGCAGGAGCCCACAGGAAGGGCACTCACCCCAGAGCCATGAGCGGCAGGCCCCTGCAGCTGCCCTCTGCTGTCTGGATGCCTTCCCCTGGCCTGGAAAGAGCTTTGCCCAGATGACTCCATGACTTGCTCATTCATGTTATTTAGGACTCTGCTCAGTCGTCACCTCCACAAGGAGCCTTCTCCAATCTTTCTGTCTAAAACAATCTCCCCCCACCCCACCGCCTTTATCATTCCATTCCATGCCCTCATGCTGCTTTCTCTTGATAGTACTGATCTTTTCTACCAGCGGATTGTGGATCTGTTTTGAAAAATATGTTTATTGACCATTTACTCACCACAAAATAAGCTTGGTGAAAGCAGGGGCTTTACCTATTTTGTATTCCTTATTGCATCCCCAGTGCCCCCCAGAACAATGCCTGGGCCTCAGTGAGCCATCAATGCCTGTCTCTGGTGAATGAAGTGACCACTAAGCTGGATCCTGTAGGGTGCATAGAGGCTGGCCAGGGAAAGGGTCAGGGAGAGAATCTTTCAGGCAGAGGGAGCAGCACATACACAGCCAGGGGAAGAGAGCAGAACGTGATGGGAGGTAGTTCTGTATGACAGGCATGTTCATTAACAGAGCAGGAGGAGCAGGCGGCGAGAGGAGGAGTTTTCTGCTGAATCATGATGTGGGTCTGACCTGGTGGAAGGAGCCAGGGCAGGAAGGATGATTGGAGACGAAAGTCTCAGACTGCGCGTGGTTCTAAGAAGGTTTTGGCCAGGCAGATGGGGAGTCCCTGAGCCAAAGCTGGCCCTCAGAGGAATTCCCCATCAGGCAGAAGCTAGTGCCATGCTATGCTCAGCCTTTGGCTGGAATTAGCTCAGAGGACATGTGGCTTTGGAGGGATGCAGTGAGGGATCCCAAAGGGCAGGAGCTGTGGCTGTCACTTGACTGCTCCCTGCAGCAGGGGACCTCGATGGTGCAATTCCATGGCTGCCCAACAAGCAGAGAGGGCAAGGAAGGAAGTGGTGAGAGTTACGTCTGGAGAGCTAAACATGGACCAGATCACCCAGGGTACTTTAGGCCCTGTTAAAGATTTGTATTTTATCATGAGGGCAATGAGATGTCAGGGTGTGGTTTTGTTCAGGGAAACAGAATGATTGGATTGGATTTGCATGTCAGAAGGATCACTTTGGCAAGAAAATGGAAACCGAAACCTTATAAAAATTCTAGATTAGTAATCCAGGCTCTTTTTTTTTTTGGTTTTCATTCTCACTGTGAAAGCAGTTTGAGAAATAGACAAAGGTGGCCTCCTTGTGGAAGCCAAACCTCACCTTTATTCCTGTATAAACAGTTGGCAAATATGCCTTTGTCGTGAGGGCCAAATGGGTTTCCAAGCACTCCTTGCCCAATGGTTCCCTCCTATCTAGGCCTGGGTCAGCCACGCAGGCATCCATCTGGGTCTCCTCTGGAGAATCACTGCCTTCCTGTGGCCAGGATGAGGAGGGGAAGAAGAGTCTGAGGCCCCGGCACTTACCATGGTCTTTCCATTGCTGAGCTCCACCTAATGGAGAAACAAGGACACCTGTCACCCCAGGTGAGTTGGCCATAAGCGTTAATCCTAGAAGCACAAGGATGGGAGATCTATGTTCTCCACATTTGTAGGTGAGAGATAATGGTGGCCCGGTCAGGTTGGTGGCATTGGAGGGAGGAGGACAGAAAGAAGAATTGACAAGACTTAGTAATTGACTGGATGGTGTGGGTGATGGTTCTGTGTGCTCAAAGAAAGGTCAAGAATGAGGCTCAGGTGTCTGCCTCGCACGACAATGGTGGGCCATGCAATTCTATTTCTAGTCTACCTCCAGTCCATAAGGTACCTTTGTGAGAGTTAGAAACAGGGCCCGCTGAGCAGGGGTAGCTATTGCCAAGGTGACAGCCTATGAGTGACATGGGCTGGATTCTGTCTCCCACACTCCTCCTGGCTAGAGGCCTCTGTGCCGGCTACAACCTGTATGGCCACACAATGTGGACCAGACACCACTGACTGAAATAGGGAGCGAGGGGCCAATTGGTGAGCTGAATTTTAACCATATTAGGTTTGAGGTGTCTGAAGACAATATGAAATTGAGTCTGTTTCTTATTACTATTGAGGTGAAATTTACATAACATAAAATTAACCATTTTATTTTATTTTATTTTATTTTATAGACAGAGTCTTACTCTGTCACCCAGACTGGAGTACAGCCACTGCTTGATCTCTGCTCACTGCAACCTCCGCCTCCCAGGTTTAAGCGATTCTCCTGCCTCAGCCTCCTGAGTAGCTGGGATTACAGGCGCCCGCCACCACACTTGGGTAATTTTTGTATGTTTGGTAGAGATGGGGTTTTGCCATGTTGGCCAAGCTGGTCTCAAACTCCTGACCTCAAGTGATCAGCCTGCCTGAGCCTCCCAAAGTGCTGAGACTATGGATGTGAGCCACCGTGCCCGGTCAAAATTAGCCATTTTAAAGCGTACAGTGGCATTCAGTACATTCACAGTGTTGTGCAGCCATCACTTCTCTCTGGTTCCAAAACGTTTCATCATCTGCTAAAAAGATTCCATATACAATAAGCAGTCACTTCCCATTCCCCCTCCCCTCAGCCCCAGGCAACCACTAATCTGCTGTCTTTATGAATTTACCTGTACTGAATATTTCATATAAATGGAATCCTGGCTGGGCGTGGTGGGTCACACCTGTAATCCCAGCACTTAGGGAGGTTGAAGCGGGAGGATCACTTAACCTTAGGAGTTCAAGCAAGCCCTCGTCTCTACTAAAATTCTATATATATATATATATATATATATATATATATATATATATATATATAAATCTATCTATCTATATATATATATAGAGAGAGAGAGAGAGAGAAAATAGAAAATAAATGGAATCCTACAGTGTGTGACCTTTTGTGCTTGGTGTCTCTAACTTAGCATTTGTTTGTTTATTTCTTTTTAAGACTGGGGAAAAGATGGGAAGAAGCCAGTAGAGAAGGAAGATGTTGAAAACACAGGAGGGAAAGAGGAGGTGAGCAATAGGATGCATCCCTGAAAATGTGCTGGAGGGGGTGGCATGGGAGAAGCCCAGGACGGACTGCCTTGACACCTGTGAGGGCCGCCTCACACGGAGGAAGCAGGGCGATGAGGCAGATGCTGACAAGAGCCTCATGATAGGTTTGGTGGCAGCTGAGGGGATTTCCACCTAATGATTTCTGTTTTTTTTTTCTGTGAAATAAGAGGTTGACCATCTGCTGAGAGGACAGTAGTGGTATTGCGGGTTTGAAGAAAATGATGATAATTGGAAATAGCTGCTGGGGAGAACGGGCTAAATCTTGCTGGGGAGATAGAGGAGGTTTTCCAGGCAATATTGAGAGCCGAGTGAGGCTGGGGTCAGTGAATTCACAGTAACATAAATCTGTGGTGTGATCTAGTTTTATCTGCAGATATCAGCGGCCTGGACGTGAGTGAGGTGTACATGTCACATTTGGAGCCATGGCAACCATCCTGTGACCTGGAGGACAGAAGTCTAAAGGTAAAGCCAAAACACTGAGGGTGGCGGAGCAGAGGATGGTGAGGGTCCCTCAGAATGTTCTGTGCACAGTAGTGAGGATGACTCTGTTCGGAAGTCAGAAGTCATTGCTCTTCTCCTCAAAACCCACTAGTGGCTCCCTCCCTCTCCACGAATAAAATTCCAAATCCGTAAAGCCCCATGTGATCTGACTCCCCGCTGCCTCTTTGATCTCATCCTTTTACTCTCCCCCTCCCTCCCTCCAAGCCAACCTCTGGCTTCCTTGCTGATCCTTGAATGTTCCAGCACACTCCAGCCTCATGGCCTCTGCCCTGGCTGTTCTGCTTCACCTGGGCTGCTCTCAGCCCGGAGTGATCTCAGCCCAGACACCTGGCCTGTTCACCCACTTGCTTCAGCTCCCTGTGTAAATGTCACCACCTTGGAGAGGCATTCTCTGACCACCCTCTTTCTAATGCACCCCCTTCTTAACCATTCTATTCCCTTTTCCTGCCTTATTGTTTTTCCGAGTACATATTAGCCCTTCACACTTTAAGGACTTGTTTATTCTCACACACACACTCTTACACTTCCTCATGCTCACATGCACTCTCACACACACACAGTCGCACTCATATGCACTCACTCACACTCCCTGATACATGCACACGCTCACACTGTCTCACTCACATGCTCACCCACACTCACACACGCACAAACGTGAACTTCCAGAGAGCAGCACCCTGGTCCATTTCCCCGACACCTAGAGCAGCACCTGGCATCTAATAGGTATTCAACAAATCTTTACTGAATTAATTAATGAATTAAAAAGCCATTCAAGGTGTGGTGGCTCAGGCCTTGAATCCCAGCACTTTGGGAGGCCAAGGCAAGCACATCACCTGAGGTCAGGAGTCACCAACATGGTGAAACCCCATCTCTACTAAAAATACAAAATTAGCTGGGCGTGGTGGTGCATGCCTGTAATCCCAGCTACTAGAGAGACTGAGGCAGGAGAATTGCTTGAACCCAGGACGCGGAGTCTGCAGTGAACCGAGATTGCGCCACTGCACCACAACCTGGGCAACAAGAGTGAAACTCCGTCTCAAAAAAATACAAAAATAAAAATAAAAAGCCAGGGTCCTTGGTGATGTTATTGAGTCACTGAACTGACACTGGAGCCACCCAGGCCCAGACTTTTTGTCATGGGAGAGAGTTGTCAACTGCCAGGTCCTAGGAGAAAGCAGCCAAGACCGAAGCAGGGGGCAAGGCATGAACACCCGGGATGGCACCCCTGGCACTCTGGTCAGAGCCCGCCCACTTCACCCATGGCCTGGCCCAGCTGGCCTGTCCCAGCCCTGCAGAGAAACTGAAACCAGAAATCTAGCTCTGAACCCTGGCCCCTTGCCTGTATGACAGCCCATGTGCTTGGTTCCTGCAAGAGACAAATTTCACACTTCTCCAACCAGGACAAACCTGGTGTTTTCAGAACTCCCTGTCCCCAGGTTCACCGGTAGAGAATGGATTCAGTTGTAAATAGCAGGAACCTGAAAGCAGCAACTTCAGCAAATTAGGGGTTTAACTTTCCCAACTGCACAAGCCTAGACTGGAGGTTTGCAGGTCAGGGCAGGTACAGCAGCTCTGTGATCTCAGTGGCCCTGAGTCCTTCTGTCGGCCTCTCCTCTGTCCTGAGTGTGTGGCCCTGATCCCCTTTTTCCCAAGCAAAGCCAGGGTTCTGATACTGAGGAAGAGAGGTGACCATGGCCAGAATGTAGGCCAGTGGTTTTTCTTTTTTTCTTTATTTGCGATGGAGCCTAGCTCTGTCACCCTGGCTGGGGTGTAGTGGCACTATCTCAGCTCACTGCAACCTCTGCCTCCTGGGTTCAAGCGATTCTCCTGCCTCAGCCCCCGAGTAGCTGGGATTACAGCCATCACGCTCAGCTATTTTATATTTTTAGTAGAGATGGGGTTTCACCATATTGGCCAGGCTGGTCTCTAACTCCTGACCTCAAATGATCTGCCCACCTCAGGCCAGTGGTTTTCAAACTTTGCGTGCACTGGAGTCACCTGGAGGGTTTGTTCAAAATGAGATTTTGCTCCTCCTCTCAGTTTCCTCCCTCACCAGTTTCCCAGTGACCAGGCACCATTCTCTGAGAACTACCGGCAACTGGCGTTGTCTGCTACCCCAGGTGACATCACCTGGAACATAAGAGAAATACGCAGAGTGGGTAAGCTGGCCACTGACTTACCGGCTTATCCTTAGAGTGGTCACCACTGACTTACAGGGGCAATCTCAGTGTGGCTAAGCCTCATCTTATTTGGCTCTGTCGCCCCTCAGCCCTCTCACTTCCAGCAGTCCTCCCACCTTCCTCTGTTGCCCATACAAGAAACTGGCTTCAGGACTTTCTGGCCAAGTGTGTGTTTGCAGAGACCACTGAATCCAACTCCCAGGTGTCCAGAGAAGTCAGGACTGGGCTGCTCCTTGCAGACTTTTTGTGAGAGGCTCCGAGCTGCCCTTCCTGCTGGCAGGCTCTTCTGGAGAAGGGATGTTTATCTGTCACGGGTGAGGGCAGAACTCATTGCCACCTTTTGTTGTAAGTTTCTAAAGATACATGCTGCATGAATGTCTTCCTGTCCTGCCCCAAGCAAAGCTTTCCATGTGGACAGGTACCCACCTGTGCTTTTGTTGAAGAGGATACATTTTTAAATTGAGATATAATTCACATACCGTAAAACCACCTTTTAAAAATGTACGAATCAGAGGGGTTTTAAAAAGTATATCCATGGAGTTCTGTAACTATCACCATGAATTCCAGAACATTTTCATTACCCCATAAAGAAACCCCACACCCTTTGGCCATTACTCCCTAATTCCTGATCCCACAGCACTAGCCCCCAGCAAACAACCTTCTGTCTCTGTGGACCTGCCTATTCTGGACGTTTCATATAAATGGAGTCATGCAACATGGGAATATTTGTTTCTGGCTTCTTTCACTTAGCATAATGTTTTCAAGGTTTGTCTATATTCTAGCATGTATTATTCTTTTTATGACCAAATAATATTCCATTGCATGGATATATCACATTTTGTTTAACCATTCATCAGTTAATGGACATTTGAGTTGTTTTTGCTGTTTGGCTATTACGGATAATTCTTCCATGAACTTTCATATGTGAGTTTTTGTGTGGAAACATGTTTTCATTTCTCTTGGGTATATACTTAGGAGTGGAAGTGCTGGGTTATATGGGATGTTAATCTGTTTTGCATTGCTATAAAGAAATACCAGAGGCTAGGTAATTTATAAAGAAAAGAGGTTTATTTGGCCCACAGTTCTGCAGTCTGTACAAGCATGGTGCTGGCATCTGCTCAGCTTCTGGTGAGGCCTCAGGAAGCTTTTACTCATGGCAGAAGGTGGAGGGGGAGCAGGTATGTCACATGGCGAGAGAGTGAGCAGGAGAGATGAGGAGGTGCTGGGCTGTTTTTTAGCAATCAGATCTTGCCTTAACTAACAGAGCGAGAACTTGCCCATTACCATGGGAGGGTACCAAGCAATTCATGAGGGATCCGCCCCCATGACCTAAATGACTCCCACCAGGCCCCACCTCCAACACTGGGATCAAATTTCAACATGAGATTTGCAAGGAACAACATCCAAACGATATCATATGATAACTCTAAGCTTAACTGCTGAAGGAACTGCCAGACATTTGTCAAAACTTCTGCATGATTTTACATTCTGCCAGCAGTGTATGACGGTTCAGCTTTCTCCATATCCTTGCCAACACCTGTTATTGTTATTGTCTGTCTTTTTCATTGTGGCCGTCCTGGTAGATATGAAGTGGTATCTCATTGCAGTTTTGATTGATGATGTTATTTTAAAAGAATACATCTGAATGGTACTCACGAAAGCTGTCTCCAAATATTTGATAGCTTATTAGTTCTTAGGGGGGACTTATAAGTTGCTATGGTTGTGAGCCCAAAGTTGGAAGACCCTGCTCATCAAAAGGAGGCACCAGTCACACAGCAAGTCAGCACCTCCTGTGTGTTCAGCACTGTTGAAGTTAAACCATTAGGCTCGTACTGTGTGCCAGGCTTCTTGCTAAGTCCCCGGGATTTAATAAATCCCAAGCTCACAGCAATCCAGGATGCCTGCCTTGTTATCCCCATTTTAGGAATAGGGAAACTGAGGCTCATCCAGGTTAAATCACTTGGCCAAGGTCACACTGAATAGGTCTGGGATTTGGACCCAGTTCTGCTAGACTCTAAAGCCAGTGCACTTAGCCACTACACTCTACCATTGTGAAGGATATGGAAGCATAACATGTGAGGCTTGGTTTTAGACAGTTCAGTTGTAGGCACAAACCTAAAATGCATGAAATATTGATGATTAGAGGAAAACAGTGGATTATTAATTACTGAGGTATGGGGTGGTAGCATTCTTGGAGGGAGCTGGAGTTTCTATCAGTTAGCATTGACTAGATTATGTATCAGTAACAAATAATCCCAATATTTTAGTGGCTTAAAGGGACAAATATTTATTTCTCATGCTACACGTCCATTGGGGGCCAACACAGGGGCTGTGCTTATCCTACTCACTCAGAGACACAAGCTGATGGAGCTTCCCTGCCTCGGGTATTGCTGGTTGCTTTGCCAGAATGAGAAAGATGAATGAATCTTGCAGTTCCTGCCTGGCAGTGACACACCTCAGTTCCATTCACCTTCACTCACCAATGCAAATGATGTGGCCACACCCAACTTCAAGGGGGAGGAAGTATAATCCTTCCATGTTCCAGGTGAAGTACTAAAAACACTTGGTGGACTACACCAACAACTGCCACCGAGTTTGTAGACAGAATCACATAGGACTTGTGGGTACTGAGCACTGGTTCAAGCTAAGGGCAAAATGAAGTCTCCATTTTTACACAGAAGAATCTAGGCCTGCAAATAAACAGGTCAGTGAACCATCCACTAGGAAACTCACTGGAATACAAGAACATTTATTCATTACTCTAGCAACACCAAGAGATGG